TGAGTATCTACTTTCTGCACACTTGGCGCTTTCCATTTTCCCATTTCCAAAATGTTTTTCTTTGAACAGTGTCAAATATTATTCAGCTTATCATGGGATCATTTACAATAATGCACTAGGAGGGTCGGCTTTGCTCTCAAGGCTTTTTAGGAGAGTCATGTCCTTTTGTCGTCCTTTCCATATACCACAGTACTACATGCAGCTGTAATCGTTAACCTCTCCTGCGTTGATGAGCGCTTATTCTCGTTCAACATAAAATGAAGTACAGCATGTGGTCTGCAATGAATGTGGGGTGGCGGGGGGTGGGTGGTTGCGTGCAAACGTCATTTTCCTGATGTTTTTTTGTGGCAGAGGCGTGAAGATCTCATTTGTGGGCACACATGCCGTTCTCTACTTGACTTTTAGCCAATCTTTGTTATATTTATGATGCTCTTTGTGTTTGAATGTTGCTCATAGGGGGGGGGGGGGGGCGCCAACGCCAAGTAATGAATGACGTGTCCACCATTCTAGTCTGCACTTTGCGTTTTGGAACAACGCGTGGTGCAATGTTTTCCAACACATTATGAAGAGGCTTGAATTCACATTTTTCTGCTCTTGGATGTTTTTGTTTGTTTGTACTCATTGCGTATCTAATTGTTGTCCTGTGCTTATTTTTGTAGCCCAATAAAAATGGCCGCCATATTGTAGGACCTGGATTTTCAGGTGCTGTGCCATGTGTGTCTTTTTTGGAGCTTTTTGGGACAGGTCTAATTGAATATCATCTCTAAGTACTATCCAAGAATACCTGCAAGGTTTTCTGTCTGTCGTCCTGTGTTTTGGGACAAGTCTGAATATTGCCTCTATGTTGATAATTGTTTGTAGTATTTCCCCACTGATTGGTTGCGCTTCTCCAATGGGACAAAAACTTTGCATTCTGCACCAATCATTTCGTTACTGTACCAGACATTGCTTGGCTCTGGCTTTACGTAAGCAATGGTGCGTGCACAAAAAATGGATCTCAAATTACTGTTTCAACGCTATGCCCTCCGTGCGGCAATTCCTAGGTCAGAGAGATCTGAGATGTATCTTGCAACCGCGTTGGGGAGGTGTGCAGTTTCCAACAAGTTTAGGAGATTAGGCTTGGGCATTTACGCATTGAGAAATGTCTTCCGATCCTCAAGATCAATCTGACCTGCCATTTGCCTCCCGCCTTGCTACCCGTCTGTGTAAAGCATCAAAATTGCTTGCATGGTTTGCTTCAACGAGTTGAACTTGGGAACCATGTCAGACGTCAAGTGTTGCATAACGTATTCAGCAAATCCACATCACATGCGTTTAGATGTGGCATGGCACTGTGCAGACTGCAGACCTTTTGGTGTGTTTTTGGGGGACACTGGAATAATACGCCAGTTTATTCCTGGTCATGACTCTAAATCGACTTCCCATCTCACCTCAAATACTACGTTACTTCAACATAGCTGTCTCCCAGCTTGGCAGTATCCCATTCACTCAAAAACATTGGAAATGGGTGTTCTGCAGTCTTTCTTCATCTGCATCAGAAGATAAGTAGTGGAATGCAGATGACGTGGTTGCTGCCATCCGGTCTGCAAATCATGCAGTAGATTTTGGTGTACAGTGAGGTCAACTCCATATGATTTTTGGGGAGAGACCTGAGTGACACTTTTTTGCACATCTTAGTGTTTGTGTGCCATGGCTGTCCAGTGTGCTGCCCACTTCTAAAAGATATGGTACAACTAATACCAGTGTCGGTGCCTGGAAGAAAGGCTGTGTCCACTTAGGATGGTTTGTGAGAGGGCACAATCAGAGATGGGTCTGTGTATTTTGTGTGGAACTTTCTTGGTGATCGCGCAGTCACTAAAGAATACTTTAGGAGAGGCATGTGAGCACTTCAAGTGCTATTGATCACTCTCCACGGGTTTTTTGGGGGTTTTATCTTGTACACGCAACAGTGAACTGTTCCCCGGAAAGGGGTTTATAAATCATGTGTCTTTTGAGACATTTTACTTCCCCACCAAATATTTCAAACAGATACAAAACCAGGAATGCACAAAAGAAGACCTGACAGAAACACTATTTGCTATTCGGCCCCGGCTGGTCCCACCCTCTCAACCGACAATGAACCCTCGCGAGCGCCACCATGTAATCCTGCGACGTCTTCCCATACCCCGTATCCAAACTCTCCACCAAAAACCTCCTCGCACCCTCACTCGTCGGCCCCTCATGAGCTTCCCACCACAACCCGACGTACAACTTGGCATAAAACGAGTCGTGCCCGTCCGTGTCCCTCGCAGCATCCAGAATCGCTTGCGGTATCGCGTCGGGGTTGTGAAAGACATCGTATACTGCTCTCATGACGGGTCGTGGGTCTTGACCAACGTGCAGCCATCGAGAGCGAGCAACGGATGGGTTGTACATGCGAGAAAGGCAGAGGAAGTGCCAGACAGATTCTTCAGTGTCATTTGGGTTGTCTGGTGGGTGTCGTCGGGTCGGCAATGCCCATCAGACCGACCGCTCGAGGCGAAATCTGAACAGAGACACTCAACAGCTCACGTCAATGGCAAATTGCTCAGCGCCGTCTTGGAACCTGTCCGCGTAGTACAAGCTCAGGCCTCTTTGCCCTTCAAAAGATAAAGTCGATTTGAAATTGAACTTCCATCCTACTCGACCACCACGCACGTGCTCGTTTCTCTCGGACCAATAAAACTCACACAGTCTGGGACGAATCTTCGGGTCCAGTCGCATCGCGTCGTCAAACGCGCGGATCGAGGCTGCGATGTCCCCCCCTACAAAGAGCCGCATTCCGCGGGTTACCAGTTCCGAGGCGGACATTGTCGAGGCTTCTTGGTGAGAAGTGGTCTCGGTGTGTCCCGATGACTGATGTAAGGCTGGTTGTGTCGATGCGATAGCAATCCTCGGCCGCTGTGGACGTTCCCTGCCTCTGATGACCATTCACTAGCACTCTGGAACGAAAATTTTTGAACACATGCTGCCAGTCGAGTCCAGCCGGAATGGCAGGCCTTCAGTCTGGACCCGCTTACCCTGCTCTTCTGACATATGACTGGACTGAGAAATTACGCAAAACCAACGCTGTCAGTTTGCATTTGGCCTCCACCGGTGCGAACAACGACTGCGCCTTGTGGACTCCCGTGAGCAGCAGGGCCTCAGAATCATATGTGGCACCACCGCGAAAACAGGCCTTCGGTTGGAGACGGCCCAAACACGCGTGCGGCGTCCAAAAATAAAAGGAGACCAGCTCACGTCGGATTTGCCTGGAATGTGTGTCGACTGTCGACTGTCAGCAGCACCAAACGAGCGGCAGTTGACGTCAATACACAAAACAAGCTTGACACCAGGCGCAAGTGGAGCGGCGGACAACGTCCATGTTGTATAGAGCCCCACCGACCCCAGATACCGCCGTCCGTTGACGTCAAACCCCGCGCAAAGTTCCCCCGCTGTGGAACATTCGCGGTGACGTCCAAAGAAAAGCAAGAGGAGTGCGGGTATGTGTCCCCCGGCGATGTGTGGTCGGTGGTATTGCCCGGTGGTACAGTGGTCCCCAGCATGATGACATGGTCTTTGAGACGGCCTGCGCACACTCCGGTCCAGCTCGGCAATTCAAACATCAAGAAGCAGGTGGGAAGACTTGCATTAAGTCGTTTCCGCCACGGGATGGGCGACCTGCGTCGAAAGAGGTTGACGTCACGTACGCAACGGTTATGAAAGACCTTGTGATGGCACCCACGGTACCATTACACACAAACCCGATTAAGAACAAAATTCGCCTTTCAGCCCTACCGAGCAGCTGAAGGAAGGAAATTAGGATGCCGGCGAGATATTATAAAAGAGAGAAACATGATGTTGAGAGGTGTGCTTTATTGTAATAGGAAAATGGGTTTGGGTGATCAAGGGAAGGTGTTTCCGTGAGGGCTTCGGCGCGACAGTGGAGTTGGACGATAATCGATGAATCCATTACTTTATTTCCTTCTCGAGGCGCCATCCACACGCTCGCGTCTACTATGGTTTGCATCCTTGCTGCCGCGTACTGACATAACTGGCTACGGCCTCACGCTACCAAAGTTACTCTATCGTGAATTAGCAAGTTGTTCCGTCGTTCTTAATGCTGATGGACTGAAGCTGGCTTGGAGGATGGAGCAACGAGACTTTGACGTGTAGCGAAATGTTTGAAGAGTACATTGGAATCCAGCAAGCACGTTGAACATGAGTGGTTGTTACAAAATACAATTGCTTCGGTCAAGACAATATAATTCTCACTCCCGGAAGCCCCCATCACCGCGAAGGACACACGCCACAGACTGTCGTGACTACGGAGATTTGCATTCAAGAGGCGGGACTCCCGTCAGTGCCGCTCCGCTCGTCTTATCGAGTTATGTACGGAGCAGTAATCGGAGGAGGACAGGACAGCACTGAAGAAGCCAATTCCCCGACGAGTGAAGATACCGAAGGCGCCGCATCGAGCGAGATGCGACATGGGCTGTCGCTCGATTCATCGTCCGTGTCCCTGGGCCGTGAATACAGCGACGGTCGTGAGATGGGCAAGATATCGACAGCAGAATCACGCGGGTCCCATCGATTGCACGTCTACGCGTCCTCTGCTGCCACTGGCGTTGTGCTGACGAACGCGGGATGTGCGACGACTTCCATATGTGGACACAATGGGACGCCACGTTACCGGGCGATGGAGAACGCGGGCTTGCAGGCAGCGGATTCCGTGCGAAGGCATGTTCAAACGTTTTTGTTATACTGTGGGCGTCGTGTTCAGGTGGAGACAAGGTCCGATGGCGACCGGTGCGGAGACGAGGTGCCCCCACTTTGCTCGATTGCCGGGAACCCGCCGATTTGGTCGACGAAATCCGTGCGATGGACCGTTGAAACGTCTATTTAAGCTATAGACGTTGAGTTTGCGAAGCGGGAATGTCCGATGGTGAGTTTTGGTTGACATGTGAAAATTCTATGTATTGTTTTTTCAACTCTCTGATCAAGCACAGGTGTCCGAGTGGTTTAAGGAGTTGCACTCAAGTTGCAATGGAGCAATCCGCATGAGTTCGAATCTCATCCTGTGCATCCTTACTCTTTTGCCTCCGCGGGTCGTCAAATACACCGCCTCGAGGGGTGCCGACCAGCTTAGCCCATCCCTTTTGCCCCTTTCCGTCCCAAAACAGACAATGGTCATGTCCGAGTGACCCTGTGTCGCTCCGGACTCCAATCGCCCGATTTTAGTCTAAGAATAGCATGAGAAATTGTTCGCTCACCGGGTTCTTCTGACCGCAGCCTGGTAGTTAACCAGGTCCAGTTATTTTTGCAACTCGAGGACACGACAGAAAGATTCTCGTCAGGCATGGCCCGGAGGCGGCAGCCTCTTTTCACCAACATGTAGCATGTCCACATTTGAGAGGGCATGCGATGACAACGATTTTATTCACCCACAAAGGTACCTTGTACTTCTATACATTTGTCAGACATTAGCACTACTGCTGAAAGCAAATGGTTTCCAATGGTTTCGGTAGAACTTTGCTCCACCGCAAGTACATATGTAAAAATATTGGCTTCACTTTTCACGCCTTTCGAAGCTCTGTGCTGTAATGAATCTAAGAGTGACTTTGCTGTGAAGATACCACTAATTCCATAGGAGAGGATTTGTTTGCTGAACCGGGTCTGTACGGGATTGAGAGAGTGTGTGAACCAAAGGGAGGTTGTTGCCGTGAGAGGGTTGACAGTGAGGGACCTGCGTGGAGGTGGAGTGGAGGCGGGATGTCGCTTGCGAGAAGGGCTCCGAGGACCGAGACCAGAAGGAATATATGTACTGGTTTGGAAAACCAACAACGGCCCGTAAAGATCAGACACAGTAAGAGAGCGAAGGCGGCAAAACACCAGAAGTCCAGGAGGGTTAGTGCGCCCTCGGTGTGGCATTGCGAGGGACAGCGCAGGGTGGGTGTGAGACGACATTTAGGGACACATCACAACTGGAGTGGGGAGTAAACGAAACGTCTCGCGGAGGAGCTGCCAGCAGAGCCACAGGGGCCACAGATGAGGGTGAACTACGTGCAAACTCCGGGAATACTGGCACCGATGAAGAGGAGGCAGGCGTGGGGATACGTGGGGGACGAGCGGGTGGGTGGGAACGAGATACTGTAGAAAATGCCGCGGAGGCCTCGAGTCGGGTGACTGTCGCACAAAAGGAAACCGACGGTTGATTCCAGGGAGGGCTTGAGCATGTCTGGCGGGTTGTGTGCGTGGGCCGAGGTGTGAGTGTACTTTCCAGACTGCTGCCACAAGGAACCTAGCGCTCATTTCCCGCGTCTCTTCCTCGTACCTTCTATATTGACTGAATGTCTTTTCCTCCTTTCTCGGCATAACTCACACTGGAGGTTATTCTTTGGTGTGCAGTGGAACTTCCTGCTGACCACTGTTCCACGTCATATACGTTCTGGAGCTTTCTGCCAAGAAGACGTCGGGCGGAGCATGAGTAAGAACTTGCAGATGAAGGTATCAGTGTTGTGAGGGCATTCATTGGTTCCAGCAAAATGCTTGTACAAGATGCCTCGTCCTAACATTTATAATGGCGAGATTGTCCCAGGATCACCGAAACTCTTTTAGCCGTCGATTGTCTGAGCCAGAGCTTCAGTAGTCAGCGGATTCTGACTCTAGTGTTCGTTGACGTGTCACCACGGCATCCATCCACCATTCCCGAGTTTTCCACCCATCACAGCGCCAAGAGGTCCCCGAACTCTCTGAAGAGGTAGACCGCTCCAACGAAAACGCCGACGTGCAGACTCATTTTGAGGTTTCCGGGGTGAGCGACCTCTGCCCACACGATGTCGAGAAGCGTCGGGGGTTTGGGAGGAATCTGGGGACCGAGACCGCGGCGCAAGGCAGGGTTCATGGAGATAGGGAGATGCGCGGAGACGGGGGGGAAGAGTGCGGAGGGATGTGTTCGAAAGTGACGATGTGCTTTGGTCAGCGAGGAAAAGAAATCCAGCCAGTTCGCTTGCACGGAATGGAATGGAGAACCCAAAGATCGCATCTGTCACGAAGAAGGCAGCGGACTCCAGCACACGGCAATCGCAGGTTGGTGCAGTGACACGAGCATCGCGCTGCGTTGGTGTCCGCTCTCCTTTAAGACCGACGTTCTATTCATTCTTCGAAGTCCACGGTGGCGAACAAGGTAGCTTCTCAACCCGCGCAGTCGAAAAAGCGAAAGGCGGAGGACGTAGACCACGTGTGTCCTGTGTGCCTGGAGGCAACCATACGGAAAAAACCATCAATGAAGCTCAAACTGCATGCCAACTCAATCATCGAAAGCCTTCAAAGAAATTCCGCCTGGTGGAACCCGCGGCGTCTTCTTCTCATCTATCAAATGCTCGTGTTTCGGACGAGGTGCTCTCAGACGTAGAATCCTTCCAAGGGAAGGACAAATCGAGAGGCGGACAGGAGAGATGGTCTTGGGTGTAAGTGAAACCCACACATTCCTAAAGCGAGTAATTTTTTACTTAACGTATTCGCACAGGTTTCGCCCGCCGCCCTCGTTCGTCACTCTCCCAATCGACACGGATCCAAAAACGACTCCGTTCGATGTGGCGAATTTGCGTGGTCCCGATGGAGAAGGAAAACAATTCTGGGTCTTTAGAGTTCCAGCTCACGTGAATCAAAAGTTCTGACCGCCGAATATCTGAGATAGCAAGCGCGTAATCGGATCGACTCACACCTGTAACACGTAGATACCACTCTCGCACCTCTCCTCCAAAATGAAACTTTCCTCCCTCCTCACTCCAACTGAAGACCCCTCAGAACCTCTTTGTACCATCGAAGCCTCCGCACCGGCCGTTCCCGGTTGCCGGGACAACCGCCATCAGAAACATAGCCCTCCACGAATCACAACCAGGGGGTGCTCTTCCGCCGCTTCTTGAGCGGGTCAAGATGCTCGTTCCGGATGGTGAGAGTGGGAAGCTTGTCCTTTGTGAGTTCTGCACGCCTGGCGGCAGGTTTCAGCCGTCTCAACATTTACCTGCCACTACCACCCTTTCAGCACCCATCCCCACCACTCGCTTCTTCGACATCGTACCGCACCACCCGACCCTCTCCACCGCCAAAGACGTCGCCAACGCTGGACGTCACGCAAAGCGGAAGGTCGTTGGCGCACGAGCGACCATCGAAGAGGCATCCAAGGAGACAAAACGTCTCCATGGGAAGCTGTACGTCGCGGGTGCACGTGGTGATGACGCGAGAGTTCATAGATCCACCGGTGCTGGGGTTGGTGCTGCGGACGGGGAGCAAAGGCGAAGAAAAAGGACAAGGCCAAGGAGAGGGAGGGTACAGAGAAGGTGAAAGATAAAAGTTAATCGTAAATGCGTTGTTTGGGAGCGGGAGAAGTGAGAATATGAATGTGTGCTGAGAGATTACAAAAATTGGACGCATCTTCCCCGTCTTCAATCGCTCTTAGATTTGCACCGAATCAGCTCATATTCGTCAAGGGGACCGCTCCAAAGGAAACATGGCGTCGTACTATGGTTCGCATCACTGCTTCGCGTGGAGAATCGCACCGTCTCGTTCACGATCGACCCACTCTTCCAACCCTTCTGACTCGAACAGAGGACCTCAACCTCCAGGACCCCGCTCTCACACCAAAACTTCCACGCCCATCATCATCCGAATCGTCACCGGGGTCACGATGGCCTGGTCACGGAGGGTCCAACAACCCCCACCGAGCGATGGTGTGAGGGATTTCATGGACTCGACCAGAGAAGGATTCGCGGGTGGTGATAAGGACAGGGCGGAGAGAGCGGCACGGCTTGTGAAGTGGGTTTATGATGGGGGCATGATATATAGACCTTCCCAATCGCCCAAATGACTTATTAGTTGCACTGGTTCTGGAAGCACCGTTACAACAGCATGTTTGGAGGACTGCGAGACCGACTTAACGGAATGGAACCGAGTCAACAGATGCTTGATGCACTTTTCCAGCAGTTGCTCACCGAAGGAGGTGGAGGGTGAGTGCGACGACTAGTGTATTTGAGCATGTTGCCTCAAGGTCTCTGTTGTCAACGTGCTTTCATAAACTTTCGTTGTTTCTGAATGAATCCATGTCCAGTCCTCGAGGAACGCCACCCGCGAGTAAAAATTTCGTTGCGAACCATCCCACAGTTGGTATCTGAGGGAAGCATCGAGGAGAGCTCTCTTACCTCACTACGAATGTAATTCTGGCCGTCGTGGCTGGATACGCTGGGAGGAATGCCGATTCCCGATGACTATCGACCAAAGAACACGTGTTTGACAAATGTTTGGACACCACGCAGATAAAGCGTGTTCAGTATGCGTGGAAGATTTTCGAAAGGAAAGTGTCGCAAGGAACTGCCGTTTGGACATATCTTTCACGCCGGATGGAGTGTGTAGTACTTACTGGGGGAGATTGAACCAGATCCTTACCGCAACCACCGCAGTCTCTTTCCATGGCTTGAGCTACGCAACACTTGGTAAGTTTTTACCCATCGAATTCGGTATTCGGCGAAGTAGAATGATACCACGACACAACCTTCCTTTTCATCCACGTTATAAGCCCCGTCTGCAGACGTGAATACCCAACCGACGATGTCGAATACGAGGAACAAAAGCGTGCACGGGAGCGACAGGCACGGGGTGCAGCGACAGCGAGCAGTGGGAATCTCGCACACAGGCAACTCGGACGGTTGCAGAAGACGAGGATGATCGAGATTGGACGTATGGTTAAAGAGTATTTAAGTGTAAATGAGAGTTGGGAACGATAGGTTGACCTTGCGTTTTGAACCCACCCACAAGACAACCCAAAAATCAATCGCAAAAGGACAATTGTCAATCGCAACCCAGCCATCTTCCACAAAAATTTCGAATCACGACATAAAACCCGAATGTGAGTCGAAGACGGGAGTGATCCACTCGAATTTCGCGGGAAATAGCGAAATCAGGGCCTGGTCGAGTTGACCTTGAGAACCTCGCTGGACGATTGATTCGAGCAATTCGAGGCGACAGACTCTGCTGTAAAACTTTTCGTAATTGATTTCTACATTTCAATCGCGCCTACAGTGCCCTCG